GCAATGAGTCCGAACTGGAGGCGCACCTGAGGCGGGTGGTCAAGCATTCTGTAAACCTGTCGGGACTCAAGTCTGACAAGAGCACAGAGAAGGGCGCCCTCAGATCGGTATGTTCTGCTGAGTCTCAACTGAAAAATTAATCTTAAGAAAATTTCAGTGGTTGATCTGGTTTCTTCAATTGTATTTCAATTTGAATAGGATGACAAAGTGATCAAGGCCAAAGTGAGTGACATCCTGTCTGAGATCTTTAAAAAGATTGGCTCCAAGGAGAACACTAAAGAGGTAACACTGCAGCTTGGGAAAGTGTTGTCTAATGTTGTGGGAAATAATAGCATTGGCATGCACTGTATCTGATATACGGTATATCCAAATGAATCTATATCGTATCGAATCGTGAGCTTGTGAAGCGAAATCTTGAAATGTCAATGCCCAGCCCTAGGAAATAACCAGAATCATTTGCCATCGTCTACTTGATGCGTTATTCAAACGAGGATGTTGTTTGTCAGGGTCTGACGGAGCTGTATGAATATAAGCAGAAGTACTCGGACGCAGACCTCGAGCCCTTCTTGAGGAACACGTCCCAGTTCTTCCAGAGCTACGTGGAGCGAGGACTTCGCGTGATTGAGTCCGAGCGTGAAGGAAAGGGCCGAATCCAGACTTCCACAGGTGAATCACACCAACCTTTATGAAACCTCTTCAAGTGTTCTTGTTGCCTTCATTTATTTTTCTGTCTCACTGAGGTGTGTGTTGTGTCTCAGGCATCCCTCAGCACAGCACAGACTCGTATCTGCCGAGCTCCAGCGCTGTGCCCATCAGCAGTAACGGAGAAGATCTGAACGCCGCCGCTTACTACGAGAGACTGAAGATCTTACGGCAGCGCCGCGGCCTTGAGAACTCAACGGTTTGTCTCTTATTAACTTAAGTCGAGACACTATTGACTACAGTTATCGACTCGTTTCATTGTCATATTGCTACAATCTTTAGGAAATGAAACTGTATTGGATTCACATAAATCACCTCATTTGCATATAATATCAAAGTAAAAAAAAATTGACTTGTGGCACCCAGCATTCTTTAATGACTAATTTATCAGTAAAACAGTTATTCTTTTATTACTTGACAATAAGACTTAATTATTTGTTATTAAAAAAACATTTCAATAAATCATAAAATTGTTAAAAGTATTATCAATTACAGTGAATCTAAAAATATTGATAATTTATGCATTCATTCTTTAGCAATTTTAGGATTTATATAATATAAGTTATTTTAATAGCTAACAATGTAAATCATTTTTTTTTATTGTTAACTATTTGACATTATTTTAAATTCTAAAATTTAGTTAAGAATTAGTTAACTTATTTAGTTATTGAATTATTAAAGTATCATAATACATTAAATAAATAATATTGATATTTGCTTTAATTATTGGTGAGAAATATTAGTCAGTTGCACGCTTATTTTTATTATTAATTACTAAGTCCTAAAATTTGGTACGGCATTGTTAATGCATTAAATGTAGACTAATTTAATTATTAATTAATAAAAAATATTAAAAAAGTTATTGATGATAAACAGTCTAATGTTAAAATTCCAGAAAATCAAACTTTAATTTATTAACAATACCTTAATTTTTAGAACTTATTTTTTTTTTAAAATTAATTATAAGTCCAAAAAGTATTATTAAAATATTAAATATCAGTGAGGTATAAAAATTTAGATTTTTGGTAATTGTTCTTGATAAACAGTCTGTTAACCAATTACAGTGTTTTTTTTATTTTTTATTTTTTTATGATGACAATATTTGACATATTGCTACTTAAACAACTAAGTTTTAATAATAGTAAAATTATTTGCAACTGCTTTTTATATGTTGTAAATAAAACTGTGCTCCTGCAGCCGGAGGAAGACCGACCTCCTCTCAGCTCCCTGAGACCATCGGTGGCCTCCTCCACAGACATGCTCCACAGCAAACTGTCCCAACTGAAGGAGTCCCGTGAGCACTTCCAGCAGGAGCAGTCCCACTCCAACAGCCCCACCCGCTCGTCCTCCCCCGCCTCCAACCTGGACGACCTCAAAAAGCGGCTGGAGAGGATAAAGAGCAACCGGCAGTAGATCAGCGCCTCGTCTTCATTTTACGCTAACGCACTAGATAGTCAGCCGACTCCCCCTAAACTCCATCCCCACGTCTTTCAGGGTGAGCGCGTGCATAGATTACGGTTATGCGAAACAGGGATTAAAAAATAAATAACCCGGTCTGTCTACATTGTATAATATTAAGTAAACATTTTCTGTATGTTAGTATTGTGCAGAGTTGGTTTTGTACATATGTTGGCTAACCTTACCAGGCTTTTACGTGTCATTTAGGGTTTTCAGTGTACAGCTTTCTTGTGCAGAATGCTGTAATGTGTAACTGAAGCTTGTTTTGGTTTTTTAAATAGACATTTTAGAGAAATCTAAATTAATGTCGCTTTCACTTGGTCTCAACTCTATCTGTTCAACACTGTTTGCCATTTTTGCTGTTTTCTTCTCTCTCTCTCTTCCAAGCGTCTCTGAAGCTCAACTTTTGAAGGATTGATTCCTTTCTCTTAAGGAGCATGGCATGAAGTACTGGATCTTTCTTTTTATGTAAATAAAGTTTGCATTACTAAAGGCTGTTAATTCAGTTTTTCTTTTAATAATATTCCCAACATTTTGCACTCAGTAGAATGTTGGTTATTGATGCATTGTTTTTTTTTAATTATCCAACTCGGATTAGTGTTGAAGTGTTGCTATTAAGTTTAAGTGTATAATCTATAGTGAAAATGGCAATAAAGATTTTTTTATATAATTTAACAAACTATACAATGATGTTCTTCTGATTTTTTTCTTCAAAGGACTATGTAGGGCACAATACTATTACAATATAGATTTATGTAAAGCAGTCTGTATTGAATAGTATTTTATTACACAGCCCTAAAAGATTGAAATTTTTTTTTAATTCAGCAAGGGTGCATTAAAACCTAGCATTTCGGGATTAAAGTCGAAACATTTCGAGATTAAAGTCGAAACATTTCGAGATTAAAGTCGAAACATTTCGAGATTAAAGTCGAAACATTTCGAGATTAAAGTCGAAACATTTCGAGATTAAAGTCGAAACATTTCGAGATTAAAGTCGAAACATTTCGAGATTAAAGTCGAAACATTTCGAGATTAAAGTCGAAACATTTCGAGATTAAAGTCGAAACATTTCGAGATTAAAGTCGAAACATTTCGAGATTAAAGTCGAAACATTTCGAGATTAAAGTCGAAACATTTCGAGATTAAAGTCGAAACATTTCGAGATTAAAGTCGAAACATTTCGAGATTAAAGTCGAAACATTTCGAGATTAAAGTCGAAACATTTCGAGATTAAAGTCGAAACATTTCGAGATTAAAGTCGAAACATTTCGAGATTAAAGTCGAAACATTTCGAGATTAAAGTCGAAACATTTCGAGATTAAAGTCGAAACATTTCGAGATTAAAGTCGAAACATTTCGAGATTAAAGTCGAAACATTTCGAGATTAAAGTCGAAACATTTCGAGATTAAAGTCGAAACATTTCGAGATTAAAGTCGAAACATTTCGAGATTAAAGTCGAAACATTTCGAGATTAAAGTCGAAACATTTCGAGATTAAAGTCGAAACATTTCGAGATTAAAGTCGAAACATTTCGAGATTAAAGTCGAAACATTTCGAGATTAAAGTCGAAACATTTCGAGATTAAAGTCGAAACATTTCGAGATTAAAGTCGAAACATTTCGAGATTAAAGTCGAAACATTTCGAGATTAAAGTCGAAACATTTCGAGATTAAAGTCGAAACATTTCGAGATTAAAGTCGAAACATTTCGAGATTAAAGTCGAAACATTTCGAGATTAAAGTCGAAACATTTCGAGATTAAAGTCGAAACATTTCGAGATTAAAGTCGAAACATTTCGAGATTAAAGTCGAAACATTTCGAGATTAAAGTCGAAACATTTCGAGATTAAAGTCGAAACATTTCGAGATTAAAGTCGAAACATTTCGAGATTAAAGTCGAAACATTTCGAGATTAAAGTCGAAACATTTCGAGATTAAAGTCGAAACATTTCGAGATTAAAGTCGAAACATTTCGAGATTAAAGTCGAAACATTTCGAGATTGTTGCACCCGTCTTTTCACATTTATTGCAATACAGTATGTAACACAAATGCAATAGCATGTCACTCTGTAGTCATCTTACAATAGTTCCCACACAAGAGATTTTAGATTATCATGACACAATATGCTAATCAAAGACTTGAAGATGGTTAAATCCACATCAGAAACATAAATTCATCAACTAACCATTCAGAAACATCCTGTTGCATTCTACATGTTGTCACTTCTTGAGTCTCTCCATCTTTGTCCGACTCCAGTTTAAAGATAAAAGGCAGAACAGTTTCTGACATTTTAGTGATTGTCTGCAAGAGGTAATCGGAGCTGCTAACACACACAAGCTCTTGAAGCTCCGGGAGCAGCAGCTCATTTGCATTTAAAGGGACGTTTTTACTGGCCCTCAAAAAGGGACAATTTTAACATGCTGTAAAAAAATGATCTGTGGGGTATTTTGGGCTAAAACTTCACATACACACTCTGGGGAGAACAGAGACTTATTTTACATCTAGCAAATTGGGGCATTATCCCACCCCTTTAAATATCTCAATTAGTTTTACTGTATTTTTGATCAAACAAATGCAGCCTTGGTGAGCATTAGAGACTTATTTCAAAAACATAAAAAAAAAATCTTACTGACCCCAAACTTTTGAACAGTAGTGCATAATTGTGACTTAGCCACTTGACATTGAACAACTTCTGATTGTTTATCAGTTATTGTGTCTCGACATTTGTCAAAAAGAAAATAACCTCTCAAATGATGCAACAGAACATTTTATTGAGCTCATATGTGACGGTTAGAGATATGTCCTGAAAGATAGTGTCCCAGATAGTAATATAATTGTGTGGTAGACCACAAGGATACACTTGTCTTGTGTCACAATGAGTGACTGGCCAACTTTGGATGTCTTTTTAGATTCTCCACCAGGGCCAGAGTCTTCTGAGGACCCCTCTCCTTGTGTCTACAAAAACAACATACAGATTTACTGTTATAAAAGCAAAATGTACCAACGTGCTTGTTCGCAAGCCAATGAACAAGGCGAAGATCTGCCCATACGCCTCCAAATTAATTGGCTACAGTTGGTTAAATTGCATACAGTTGTACCGTTTTCAAAAACTAGATGAGATACTCCAAAAAGTTGTTGTCATAACAGAATTCGGCAAATGATTTGAGAAGCGTACCGACTGAGTCTCATTTTGAGGATGTGGATCCTGAACATGGCTTCAGAGTAGTAGGCGAGGTAATCGTCCTCAGCGGTCAAGGGGAGCTGGCTCTTCTGGTACCACTGCTGCTTCTTCTGCAACTCCTCTATCTCCTGAACAAAGAAGTTTGAGATGATTTCAATTCACTAGAAGTGTATTAGCCAAAAAGAACCGTGAACAGTGTTTCCATCCACAGTATCTATTATCTATTCGATTTATCTATGCAATTATGAATTTATGCAGTATTTTAAGAAGGTGCTAAATCTTCTTGACTGAACTAGCTTGCCTTTTCGATTCTGCTCTGGATACGGCTGGTTTTGTTATTAAGCAGCTGTTTAAACTCAGTCAGACACTCTGTCTGCAACTGAAGTGCTTCCTGGTGCGTGAGGGCTTCTGGTAGTCCCAGTCGGGCCTGAAAAGGAGCCAACAGGTCCAGCTCTTTCTCTTTCTGCCGCTGCTTCTTTTCTTTAGCCATACGTTCCTGAGGAAAGAAAGGTACCAGAGGTAGGTGGTAGTTTGGATCAGTGCGATGAAAGTGGTTGACCGTTTAAAGCCTTGATTCACCTTTTCTTCCATGTGCTGATGTGCCATCTTGTTCCTCATAGTGTTGTATATAGAGACCAGCAGATCAGTATTACTTTCCTCCTTTTTTCTCGAAGACAGAATGGACTTTACCTGAAACACACACGCTAACGTCAATATGATCGGCTGAACAAAAACATTTGTTGTTGTGCTTGTGAACTGTAATACCGCTTTTTCCGAATCTCTGATCCCAAGTTCAACGTTCTCCTCGTCTTTCATCAATTGCTCAAGCATTTCATGCAACTTCAAGTTCTTGTAGGGTTTCGCAGAACGATCCACCTGAACATGCAAAAAGAAACGAGCCGTAAACACAAAGACAACAAAATATGAACTATGATATTGATATTGAAGTTCTAGTGACAATCTTTCCATCTGCTGCGAAAATGCTGTGACATGACAAAATCACAGCAAATCAGAACATATGCTACGCTTAAAAAGACTGTTCCAGCCTGATCACAAGAGAAAATGTAAGTATTTTACAAAGTTGCAAGTTCGTACGAATTCATGTAATTGGATTCGTAGAAAAGCATACTATTTGTAATAAACTACACCCCTAAACCTAACCCTCAGTGACAAAATAGCTGGTCATATGAAAACGTACAAACGAGATCGTATGAATGAGATCGTACATATAATTGGATTCACAGAAAATAGTACTATCTGTGATAAACCACACCCCTAGATCTAACTCTGAGTGATAAATTAGCAGGTCATACGAAAACGTACAAACATGATCATACAAAACGAGATTGTATGAATGAGATCATATGAATTCGCCACCAGTTTGTCTCCAGCCAGCGTAAAATAGTTAAGAATTGTCATGAGACTGTTGGACAGTTCACCCAAAAATTACAATTCTATAATTTACTTCTATAAAATTCCATTATTTAGAGTCAGATTTGGACCAATGATATTTTATGGACTTGACAGAAATAGAAATGTCTTGTCGCTTTTACATTTTCTACATAACTGTTTTCTATTGATTTCACATTACGATTTTAGTCTCATATCGCTGTGACTTACTCTCGTAATTTTAACTTTATTGTCATAAAATATTACCACTTTATTTTTGTAACGTTTTGATTTTATTCTCAAAACGTTGACTTTATCATAAAAAGGTCTATTGAGATTTTTCTTTGTTTCTTGTATGTTTTGTATTATCTGTTTTGGGGCTTTTTAAGGTGCCAATAAAACACTGCTGTATTACTTTGATCATGAATCTGACAATAGTAATTGTTTATGTGTGACATCAGACCTGAAAGCCAGAAACCATCTGTGGAGTAAAAGCTTGTGCTTTCTGCGAGTCTGCCGCTTCTTTGGGTTTCATGAAGTTGAGCCAAGCTGGGATGATCCTGTCGTCCTCTAGATGATAGGTCACCTGGATCCGTCTGTCAGACATCATAAAGACCCGTTCAGCCACATCTTTACTTGCCGGCTTAGAAGGATCTCTGTGGAACCGCTCCTCCACCCTCTGTAGGAGACCCCAAAAAAATGTCCATGACCATTTTTGTTTATTGTTAGCAAGGCCAAGCTTTTAGTATACTGTTGGTTAATGTTATACCAGCAAGATAATATAAGGTTAAACTGCTTAAAGATTAAAAGTCAAGCCTGTTTGTTGAGAGAGCATTACCCTTATAGGCCGTTGTTCAAAAGCCTCTCCAGCCCAAATCACTTTGACTTGCTTTCCGTAAACAACATGTCGATAAAAGAGGAAGTCAGTCCGATCTTCAAAGGTTTCTGTCATTTCGAAAGGCTTCTCGATTCTTCTGGCTAGACCGTCAGTGCGAGTATGACTATAAAAGTCCATCTGGCGCTCCGTCTCAGGAACTAAAGTGACGTACCTGTGGCCTAAACAAAATTAAACTTTTAAAATGCCAGGCTTGTTTTTTTGTGAACTGATGTTTCAACTAATTTGATTACCAAACGCACATAGGAAAAAAATGCAATGTGATTTCATTTAAATTGAAAATAATCCGTTTTCTAATTAATCTAATTTTTGCAAAAAATCCAAACCAAGCAAAACTGGTATTATTAGAGTTGACGAGTCATCAGTAATGAAACGAGCCATGCTTACTGACATCGGTAATATATAGAAAATGTGTGTTTGATTACATCTGAGAGCATCCTTTCTTCCAGGCCTGAAATGCTCAGATGTCACATTGCTGTCTGTGTGAAGTTCTCTCTCGTCAAGACAGTCACCTCGGTGACTGAACCATTCCTTAACAGTGCTGGGTTGTGTGCCTGATAAAAAAAAATAAAAAAAAGAGTGTTAACACACAAGCTAAATGCTAAAATAACATGCAAATGAATAAATAATATTTATTCAGAATATTTATAATATTTTAATATGCATAATATTTATTTATGAAAGTGACAAAGTGAGACAACACACAAATTAAAGGCTAAATGAACATGCTTATAAATAATAAATATTTTTAATTATTGTTAATTCTATTTAAAGTATTATTAATACATTTGATTTATTTAGGCATTATTTTTGTTTTGGGTGAACTATGCCTTTAACATGAATTTTTTGTTCATTTAAATGTACATGACCAACATGACAAGGTATGTTTTATATGTTGAAAACAAAAACATCTGCAAAGGTCTTACAATCAAGGTCTTTATAAATGGTGAGTTTTGTCACAAGACCATCTATCTGAAGGTAAGGGGCAAACTTCTCCAGCTTGGCTTTCCTGTACTGGACAACCTTCATACCCCCTGGAAAACGCATTTCCATATCTATAAAGATACAAAATAAAAACAGAACATTGATGATTAATTCGCCTCAAGAAATAGTGGATAAGGGATGAGAGTGAGAACTTGACCTGGGGGTGAAATCTCTATTTTAGTCACCCAAGATGGAGGCATTTCAAACACTTTCAGCTCATCCATTTCCTCCTTGAGAAGAAAAAAAAATAGGTGGTTACATCTGATGTAATAGATTCTTCGCATGTTTAGTGTGGAATGAGCCCTTCAATAGTTAAAGAGATAGTTCCCCCAAAAATGAAAATCTCTCATCATTTACTATACCCTCAAGTTGTTCCAAACCTGTATAAATTTCTTTGTTCTGTTGAACACAAAGGAAGATGTTTTGGTATCTTTAGACTATGGAAGTCAATGGTGCATAACAACTGTTTGGTTACAAATACTCTTCAAAATATCTTCATTTGTGTTCAACAGAACAAAGAAATACAGGTTTGGAACAACACGAGGGTGAGTAAATGTAAATGATGACGGATTTTTCATTTTTGGGTGAACTATCTCTTTAAATCAATAATGGGATCAAAACTAAATAAAAAATTAGAAATAAAGAACAGGTTTTCTGTACTTCTTCCTCATCTTCTGACTCTTGGAGTGTCTTTGGCTCAGAAATGTTTGACATTGATTGGCTAGTTAGGCCACACAACATATACTCCCACTTTGATAGATCGCCCATGTCAAAGGTCATCTCCTGCAGACACAAACAGACCCAGTAAACTTCCCAATGCTTGTCATCCTCACATTAATATCACATCCACCACACTAGGAGATACTGACCCCACAACCGAAAGTGCAGTCTTGTTTGTTGACCCAGTAGTTTTGATGGTTCCAGACGCTCTCTATGCCCAGAAAGTTCTCATTGGTGGTGGAGTAGCTCTTGCCTGTCAGAGGGTCAATGAAGAAGTTCTCAGGTTCCTCCCGGTTCCCTGAGAGCACCAGAACCCAGCTGTGAACTCTCAAGCCCAGAAGAGGGTCGGGTGGTGGACGTTCTTTCTCCTGTTTAAAAGGAACCGGTGAAAATGCAAAACAAAAACTCTACTGAATTTTACTGAAACATTCTCTGTCCAACCTTCTGAAGTCTCTCAGCTTCCAGTTGTTCCTTCAGCGCTGCTTCTTTAGCTTCTGTCTGCCGTTTCTCCTCTTGATGCTTTTCAAAGGAGCTGTGCAAGTCGCGTGGGGGTTTCACAGAGTATTTCCTCAATGTCTTCTTCGGTTCCTCTGTTTTCCCCTGAGCAGGTCATACAAAATGATCCATAACATGAATTCATCCAGTTTTGGTTTTCAGAAGTAACTGATTTCACTACGACCACTCAAGGAAATTGGTGTTAAAGCTGTGGTCTTCAACAAATGGTCTACAACCTCTAAGGTATCTGTGGACATACTTCAGAGAGCCTGCTCAAACTACACTGTAAACATTTTTACTTAATTAAAAAATTGATGGTAAATTTCACTAAGTAACTGCAAGTAACATTAAAGGTGCAGGAATTTCTAAGACCCGCTGTTGAAAGTCTTCGCTTTATTTTTCGCAAAGCATTATTTTGCTTAGATTCAGCTATGATAAAGAGACATCCCCCTTGCATTGCAGTTTCCTGCATTTCGAGGCTCGAGCAATGGGGTGTGTTTTTTGGGATTGATTTCAAATATCAGTGTTTCTCAGAAATTGCTTACTGCACCTTTAAATAAAACATGAAATTTTGAAGTAGAAATACCATATTAAAATAAGTATGTAACAAGTAATATTAAGTAAAGTAAAATCCAGTAATGTACAAATATGTTCATTTTATATCAATAGAATATGAAACTAACAACATGAATAAATGTATGATGATTTATGATTTTCTATTAACATAATTTATAATATGATACCATTTGCATGTCACAGGTCAGGCTTAAAATCAATTCTCAATTTTATTTAATTTCCTCTCTATCAATGTTATTTATTTTAGTATCATTGAGATATTATTATACATTTTATTAATATAATATATAATAGTATAATTTTTTATTTGTATATTTTCCATTTTCATTTTAAAGTTTTAGTCATTTTGTTGTTTTTGTCATTTTTAAGGGTTTTTTTTTTGTCTATCGTGTTTTTATTTGATTTCATTTTTAGTTATTTAGTACATCAAGTTAAAATAAAATAAAAAATAAGTTATTTTTATTTTTATTTCAGTAAAGGTTTTAGTTTCTGCTCTGTATATCTATCTGCCAAGAGGCCTGAAAGAGGTTGAAAACTCATTTTAAAGTCGTCATCATCACATATAAATGATCAAACAAACTGACTGAGTGGTGCGTTGTTTAAATTGACGTGCCATAAAACTTGTTTTACATGCAATGTGTGATCTAGTGTATGGTTTTAACTCCGTACTTACTTGGATTTGAGTCTGCAGTAAGGGACATTCTTCCCGTGACTGATCGAGAAGACACATCTCTTTAGTAGCGTACCCACTGACGCAGTAAGCGTTGTATCCTGCGCCCAACAACAGGCTACACAGCACACTGGAGAAATCAAAACATGTGCCTCTCTGAGTCTGCAGAACCCAGGTGGGCGATGACAGCTGCTTGGGCTAAATAGAACAGAAATAAAAAATAAAAAAACATGTTTTCGAGTCCAAAAGGCGAAAACAACCCTCATAAGTCACGTTAGATCAAGCTAAACGCAATTATTAGGGAAACAGTCGGAAATTCTCACAAGTTCAAATGGTGGATCCAAGAGCTCCAACGTGAGATAATCAGACACAAAACTAGCACATCCCTCCCAGTCGTACAGCTCAGGATACGGCAGCAATGTGCTTCGCAAGGTGGTGCTTACAAATTTCTGTTGAGTAAAATAAGAAAACATCAAGAAAACAAAAGAGTATTCGAGTCATTTGTGGTAATGTTGCCATGTCTGGAAAGCGTATTTGCTGTAAGTACCTGAACACCGCACTCATTTACAGGACACAGAAGAAGCACTTTGTTATCAGGATATAAAAGAGCATACTGCTGACGGAAGTTTTCAGCCATCGCAAACATGAGCTTCTCCTGTGAGGAGTTCTCCTTATATGAGGATGGACATTTGGAAAGGTCCACTTGAGGTCTTGGGTTTGCTCTGAAACAGTAAAGAATAAAGACCAATGAATAGAAAGATGTTTCGTTGTTGTTTTACTCCTAAAATGATGTGCATCACTTGCATGTAATATATATCACCATCTCCTAACAAGGCTACATATTAAGGTCTGGGTAGATTAGATGGAAAGCAAACAATCTGTTTTCGTAATCAGTGTTGGATGCTGGAGAAATGGGCAGGAATAAAGATCTGAGTGACTTTGACATTTTTATGGCAAGGCGACTGGGTCAAAGTATCTCTGAAAAGGCAAGGCTTGTGGGTTGCTCCCAGTCAGCAGAGTTGAGAATTTACCAACAGAGGTCTGAGGAGGGACACACCACAAACCGGCGACAGGGTGTCGGGCGCCCAAGGCTCATCGATGCATAAGGGCAACGAAGGCTATCCCGTCTGGTCCTAGCTAGCCAACAGAAGGTCTACTGTGGCACACAGTCAAACAAAATTGTAATGGTATTTATGGGAAGGATGTGTCACAACACACAGTGCATCGCACCCTGCTGCGTATGGGGCTGCATAGCAGCCGACCAGAGTGCCTATGATGACCCCTGTCCACTGTCGAAAGTGCAGGCAATAGAGAGTCAGAACTGGACCTTGGAGCAGTGGAAGAAGGTCACCTGGTCCAATGAGTCCCGTTTCTTTTACATCACGTGGCTGGTCGTGTACGTGTGCATCGTTTACCTGGGGAAGTGATGGCACCAGGATGCAATGTGGGACGAGGACAACCTGGTGGAGGGACGGTGATGTGAATGTGAATTTGACGTGTAACCTACCTAAAAATAGTTGCAGACCAGGTACACCCCTTCATGACAATGGTGTTCCCTGGTGGAAGTGACCTCTTGCAGTGGCCACTGCAGACATTGTTCATAAATGGTTTAAGGAACTTGATAAAAAGTTTAAGGTGTTTTGTATTTTGGTTCATCAAGTTAAATTAAATGAAAATGAGAAATGTTGGCAGCTAGCTGAAATAAAATAAGGTTGGTATGTTTATATAAAATAATATGTTTACAATTTATTTAATTTGAGTTAATGGTTATTTTATTTCAAGTAGTGAAAATGTTTTTATGGTTTTAGATTTAGTTAGCTATAATAACCCTGACCAGGGCCTTTTCTTGACCAGCTACATGACATTCTTCCTTATAAGGTACAGTCCACTATTGACTGAGGCCATGGTGGGTGGGTTTTAAAATCAACTTACCCCCTGTCTCTGTACACGAATGTAACCCCAGATAGCATGGTGACATTGATACAATGTTGAGTTTTGATCTAAACCATCATTTTGGTTGAGATTGACATTTCAATGTTTAAAGTGTGCTGGATCAGCATTGACATTTTGATGAAAGCCAACAACACACATAAGTGGAGACAGTGACATTGAACTAACAGTGATTTGTAGTTGATGAGCACAAGATCATTTAGGCGTATCTCTGCAGAACACTAGTGGGTGTTTCTCGATCAGTGGGGCGTTTTCAAACCACAATGGGCATTTTCAACCGCTTTACCCGATTTGCTGTAATCCACTGTGGGCTTGGTTTAAGGGTGGGCCTTCATGATTTTAGCAAGTCTGTTGAAAAATGGTTGAAAAACATTTACCTGTATTGTAGTTTGAAATTGGCCACTGATTGGTAAACGCCCATTTTGTCTTTGCATGTGCACTTTTCAGTAGTCTAATGCTTCCTCATTAGAGAGAAAACAGGTGCATCCTATACAGAAGTCTTGTTTGTTGAATCACCTGACATACTTACACGACTAGCAGAGTTTCAAACAATGGTGCATCTACCTTATTTCTCTGTTCCTTTGTTTTGCATGCTTATTTGCGTTTGATTTGTGTTGTTACTCACTGTAATTAGATTACAAAGTTATTAAAATGTTTGAATAAAGCATCTATTTTTCTACATTCTTAAAAAATGCATCTTGCTTTAGTAAAGTTTATTAGGAATTTCCTGAATAAAGTTATGTCATTTAACAGATTTCTTAAGGTCAAGAGACATGAACATGAGCAAGAATGTTAACATAGCCCATGTCTTGTCTCGGTCAGTGCTTGCATGCAGAACACATTGCTCCTTTAGTAGGAGTGAAGGCAGATGAAGATGGACAATTAAAAAAGCACCCTCCTGATAATGCTGACATTGATCATACATTGAGTTGTTGTCGACAGCATAATCACCTGACCTGGGACTTGATGATATCCTGTATCTTATCACTGCTTAATCAGGTAATCATTCATATTCCTGAATCTGTATTAAATTTGAGAAATAACTGATTTCCATTCAGTTTAGCTTGTTTCCACTGAAACACACACACACAAAAAAAAGATCTAGTGTTTATTAAGAAACTGACTGACATGGCTATTTTGTGATATTTAAAGAGATTAGGGTCTACATAAGGTGAATATGCAGCTTTAAAGGGATAGTTCAGCCTGAAATTAAAATTATGTCATCATTTATTTACCCTCAAGTTGTTCCAAACCTGTATGAATGTCTTTCTTCTGCTGCACACAAAAGAAGATAGAGTGAAGGATGTTGGCAACCAGACAGTTGATGGTAGCCATTGACTTCCATGGTAATTATTTCCTACTATGGAAATCAATGGCCACCATCAACTTTCTGGTTACCGACATTCTTTAAAATTTCTTATTTTGTGTTCAAAAGAAGAAAGAAACTCATACAGGTTTGGAACAACTTGAGGGTGAGTAAATGATTACAGAATTTCTCTTTAAAGAAATTTTCATTGAAAAAAACTAAGATATTTTTTATTCTACAAGATAAAAGTGTTATTTGAATGCTGTAGTTTCACAGAAAATGAACTGAGATGTAGTTAATGGCTATAGCTCAGAGGTGTTTGTTCCTCTTCATGAAGAGTTTAGCTCCAGCACCTGGAAGTGTTTATTGATCTGATGACCTTGATTAACTGCCTCAGGTGTGTTTATTAGGGCTGGAGATAAAATCCGACACCCCTGTTAGTGTTTTCTTTTGATATTAAAGCATAGAAATAAATAAACAGAATTTTATGATACTATAATCGTAGTTAGAATATTTTGTTTTCAGTGACTTTAAAAAAAAAAAAGTGAATCATATTGTGTTTAGTATATTAACATTATTGAATGTGACTATGTATTACAACTGAATTGTTTCGTTCTTGAGTAACATCATGCTTTCTTTTTCAGATTTCAGAGAACCCAAAGGAAAAGAGGCAGAATCTGATGATGCAAGACAGATTTTTAAAAACCTGAACCGCTGGACCTGTAGTTATGATGACATCAGACTTCTGAAGGCAATTTTATTTTTAAAGGTTGAAATGCTTTTGTCCTATTTCTCCCCCTTTCTTTTAAAAAAAAATGATATTTTAATATATTTGTTGTCATTGATTGATTGAATAAAATAAATTGACTCAACTGCTGGAAAGGTGTCATTTATATTTTAAAAGGTTTTCGACAAATTTTGAAATGGTCAGGAATTTGTTGACGCACCATTGAAGTGTGATTGAAATAATAATGTTGTTTCAACATTAATTGGTACATCAGATGGCAACATTGTTTGACATTCCTTTTCAGTCTTTCAACAAAATGTATTTGGAATCAACATCACATTGTAACATTGATCAAACCATATTACCAAAGATTATTTTTTGTTAATTTCAGTGTTAATTCAACAGCAGTGATTTAGATTCAACATCATAGTAACGTTGATTCAACAATATTACCATTGATTAGTTTTGTTAATTTCAATATTGATTCCGCATCAGTGATGTAGAATCAATCATAGTGTAACGTTGATTCAACAATATTACCATTGGTTATTTTTGTTAATTTCAATATTGATTCAGCATCAGTGATATAGAATCAATCATAGTGCAACGTTGATTCAGCAATATTACCATTGGTTATTTTTGTTAATTTCAGAGCTGATTCAACAGCAGTGATGTAGATTCAACATCATAGTGTAAAGTTGATTCAACAATATTACCATTGAGTATTTTTGTTAATTTCAATATTGATTCAACAGCAGTGATGTATAATCAATCATAGTGTAACGTTGATTCAATAGCATTACCATTGATTTTTTGTTCAACATAGTTTCAACATTAACTGAGGGTGCAAAAGTGATGTTGATAAAATATCACTTTGTAATGTTGAATCAATACTATTACCGTTGATTTTTGGTTGAATTCCCAACATTATTTCAACATTAACTGAGGGTGCAAAGGTGATGTTGATAAAATATCACTTTGTAATGTTGAATCAATACTATTACCATTGATTTTTGGTTGAATTCCCAACATTATTTCAACATTAACTGAGGGTGCAAGAGTGATGTTGATAAAATATCACTTTGTAATGTTGAATCAATACTATTACCATTGATTTTTGGTTGAATTCCCAACATTATTTCAACATTAACTGAGGGTGCAAGAGTGATATTAAAGCAACATTACTTTGTAACGTTAATTCAATGCAATTAGCGTTGACGCATCAACACTGAGTCAACATTGTTTCAATGATTACATGCTATCTGGGACGTTACCCTATAGTTTTGTAAAGGTAAAAAGTTGGAGGTGTTTGACCTTGTTCTACTACCCCACATGAGTGACCTGATAATATACCACCCATGTTTGTAGTAGCTAATGATTAAGGCCGTTGTAAACATCCGACGTGTTCCTGTAGGAGGAACTCCTATGGAGAAACACAGCTCATTGCTTTAACAAGAGTTTACCACATGTGTTTGAACTTTAGTAACCTCACATGTGTGTAACTGTGGGGGTTATTCGTATGTTAGACAGCCTGCTCTTCAATTCTCGAACTCCCTCTTCATCATCTGTTATAGTAGCGTCCTCTTCACAATCTGCCTCCGGTAACACCTCCATCTAAAACAAGTCATACACACATGGAGAGATGTACAAACTACAAACAACTTCTAAACTAAAAATTAATATGTATATTCGTTATTTTACAGTTAAGGCGGATGGCAGTATACTTACAGTTCAATCAATTGAATCTCTCCGCCGTTCGTTCTTAAATTAAAATAATTTTAAAGCGAAGATTAATCCAATGGAAGCAACGTAAAAACCATAGAGGTTAAAAAAACCTTTTGCTTGTTTACGTCACGCAATTTGGTTTCCATAGCGAGGGTTCGCTGACGTTACGATGCGGGGGCGGAGTCGACAGATGCTCTTGCCTTTTATAAACTGTTTTATTATTATTTATTTATTTATAAATTAAGTATGAATGATAATGTAACAGAATGAATAAATATGATTAATCTTTAAAACATATTATTCATATAGTAAATCAACTTACTTAAGATCATGCTGCATTTTTCAAAACTATTTCGCTTTCTTCTTTTTACTTTATGTGTAGTCTGTTTTTAAGCCTCATATTTTATTCGTGTAGTGTAGGCCTACTGTCAGATTTAAAAAAAAAAAAAAAAAAAAAAAAAAAAAAAGGGAGGCGGGGGTTCATCGCGTATGTTTGCACCTTAGCCTGTTGTCATTGAAATATATCCTTATAATGTAATCATCACACACAGTAGGGGCTCACAGAGTGTTCACTGTCCGGTGACCTCACGTTCTGATACACTCACCGCCCCCCTCGCGACGTACGCATTAATACAGATAGCGCTGGAGTGAGAGGCAGCCAGAAGAACACAGACACAAACACTATGGGATATTCGCCTTCCTTCAGATGCATTGCAATTCTTCTGATTGCACTGCACCAGACCTCTGGATTCTGGTTATTTAACGTTATCTTCCCTCCGACAGCCAAACCACGCGTCATAAACAATAGCACTCCTCCTCTTATCATAGGTAAGCAATCTTACATTCATAGTTTGGATATTTAAATTGAGGGATTAAGTTTAAAGTGTTTGTTTCATTAATTTAGGCAGGGGGAAGCATACAATTGTGCCTACACAAGGCAACCTAGACAAGATAACAGAGTGCGCCTCACTTTTAGACAAGTTCAAATTCATATAGTGTGAAGTTTGTTTGAAGGTCCATCTTTAGTAACAAAATATTTGTCTGGTAAAATAACAATAATACCTTTTTACACCTTTGTATCAGTACCTGGAAATTTGGGTAATCGCCTGGAGGCCAAAATAGACAAGCCCACACTAGTGCACTGGATGTGTTACAAGAAAACTGAGGACTGGTTTCCTCTCTGGATGGACCTGAACATGTTCATGCCCATTGGAATTGATTGCTGGATTGATAATATAAGGTAAACCGACTATGGGAACAAACTTTAACAAGAAATATTTTGTTACATTATAATTTACTGTCACTTTTGAAACCTTTAACGAAACCTTTGCTGAATAAAAGTATTCTTTTCTTTAATAAAGAAAATCTTACTGACCCCAAACTTTTGAATGTAGTGTATAAATATAGTTTTTTTGGATGAAATTAATTTCTACACTTCCTGTTTTGTCTCATGTGTGCACAAATGAACAGAGCAACCCTTTCTAGGTACCTCTGATCTATTGACAACTGTTTCCTAATCATCCTCAGTTCTGTATTTCAGGTTATTGACCTTTTGTCTATTGCTTTTGGAGGGTTCTCGAAGGCTGATGTCATAGGGACAGGCCAATGTACCATAATCAATATTAGTAGCAAATCTACTGTCCTAACTATGTTTATTATCAGATTCAGAAGCTGTGATATATTTGAACTTCTTGTTTTGGTTTGGCTCGAACTTGATATGAATGTAACAGCTACATCTGCAGATTTGCAATTTTGTGCAGAATTGTGTACAACAGGACAAGTCGCAAGACATCGAACGCACCCGGGGTGGAGGTCAGGGTCCCTGGATTTGGACAGACGCACCCTATAGAGTTTCTTGACATAAACAAGCTGACTGGTGAGTATAACACTAAGTAATTGGATCGCTTACATCACAACATCCTCATTTTCATCCTGATGGTCTTTTTATTTTATAGGTTACTTTCATACCATGGTTCAACAGTTGGTCAGCTTTGGATATGTGCGAAATGAGACTGTCCGTGGTGCTCCGTATGACTGGAGAATCGCTCCAAGTAAGTTAAATCCCAGTGACAGACAACAACAATCATTTCACCATAGTACAAAACAAATAGTTGACGGTAGCCTCTATGTCAGGACTATTCAACTGTAGAGCTCCAACTCAAATCAAATATACCTGAACAAGCAAATCAAGGTCTTCAGGATTACATGAACATGACAGGCGGGTGCGTTTGTTTAGGCTTAGAATCAAACTGTGTAGGACAGTTGAAGAGTCCTATTCTACATAATTGACATTGTATACACTACAATAATAAATAAATAATATATCGATATATATAGAGTATATATACACATACAATAAAAAAACAACATCAATAATTATTATAAAGGGCATTGATAATGTTACACATTTGGGCGGAACCAGATTCTTATCAACCACACAGCAACCACCCAAACACCCTGGCAACCATTCATAAGGTGTACTTTCATTCTGTGTCCCAATAACAACAATGAACGTTTATGTTTGGTACCACATAGATGAGCAGGAGGAGTATTTTTCACGTCTGAAAAGCTTGGTGGAAGAGATGCATGATGAGTACAAGCAACCAGTCTACCTTCTGGGCCATAGCATGGGCAACAACTACATCCTGTACTTCCTCAACCAGCAGACTCAGGACTGGAAAGACCATTACATCAAGGGCTTCATCTCTCTGGGAGCACCTTGGGCAGGCGCTGTGAAGCCCCTCAGAGTCTTAGCATCAGGTACAGAGAAGAAATTTAAGAGAAACTGTTTTCTATTTTACAATGTCATTTATTCCTGTGATCAAAGCTGAATTTTCAGCATCATTACTCCAGTCTTCAGTGTCACATGATTCTTTAGAAATCTTTCTAATATGCTGATTTGCTGCTTAAGAAATGTGATATATTTATTTATAAAAATGTTATATTAATATAAATATTTTATATGATAAATGTCTTTACTGTCACTTTTGATCATTTAAAGCATCCTTGATTATAATATTTATTAATATTTTGATTTAGCTTTTTTTTTTTATTTTTATTTTTTTATTGTATTTTAGGTTTTAGTTATTTTGTGTTTTTAAATCATTTTCTATTTAGCTTTATAGTAATTTATTTAATTAGTTTATTTATTATTAAAAGCAACTTTGCTGAATAAAAGATGTTATAAAAAAACATGCAGACATAAAATATTGAATTCAGATGATTTCAAATTAAAATTTTAATGTAAACATAATTTTGTAATTGTAGTGTAATTAAATTGATTAATATTTATAACAAATTAAATGTTTAACTTCCGTCGCATCCTGTAACAAATCCTTCCCTCGCGGGTCAAAATGACCCAGAACCTTTTTTTGTTTTGTTCAGAAATTATAATTTTTTCTCCATTTTTATTTTTATAATATTTGATCTATTTTTAATGCATTTTTTTAATAGTTTTTTTTTATTTTATTTTTTATTTACCTTTAAATAACTAGATTTTATCAATAAATAATACAATGTAAGCACAGTCTTCACATTCTTTTAACTTAAATTCAAAATAACATGTATTCCAATACATGCATAACCAGCTCAAATCGGCTCAAAATATCTCACATTAGGTCAATTTGGTGGGGAAAAAATAATAATATAACATGATATTTCATGACTCTTGCTAGATGGCCTTATAGCTCTATTTGGAACAAATGAGCTGTTCCGCTGGGTCATAAAGTCAGTATGCTTTTAGATACACATGTAGACATTATAAAACCATTTATTCATCAATTGATCAAATCACAAAGTCATTCCAAAGGGAGTTATTCTCTATATCAGTAAGCACTGTTTCTGAACTCCCTGAAACACCTCAATTGAGTCTTGAGGTTTCCTCCAGGAACTCACACTTTACAACATTTCTCATTTGAATAATTCCCGCTCAAGGCACACGCAAAAAAAAAAAAGGGATGAGGCTTGGTTGTGTAATTTAGTAGTGTGTTGAAACTCTTGGTTATGGTAAGAGGTGTGATATTTACAAAACACACCCAAAGTGGTTGACCAATCACAGCACACTTGTCCAGCCGACCAATCAGAGCACATTGCACATTTCAGAAGTAGGGGCTTCATAGAAGAAGGAACTTAACAGTGTTACTGACAGACTGGGAAGAGATGTCAAATATGTGAAAAATATTTTTTTTTTTTTTTTTTTTACATTCAAGCATAAAAACATATTATAGTAGAACCCAAAAACAAGGATTCATATGGACTCTTTAAATGAGTTTTGGTCTTTATTTTATGCCTTTTTAGGTGAAAATGATGGCATACCCTTCGTGTCCAATATAAAAATCCGCGAAGAACAACGGATGACGACCACAAACCCGTGGATGATCCCTTCTGAAGAGGTGTGGCCCAAAGACCACACCTTCATCTCCACCCCCTTTTTCAACTACACCAATCAGGACTACCAGAAGTTTTTTAAAGACATCGACTTTGAGGACGGCTGGTACATGTGGGAGGACACCAGAAACCTCACAGCCGGCCTGCCCACACCTGGAGTTGAGGTCTACTGCTTCTACGGGGTGGGACTCCCTACTCCCGTGACCTACGTGTACGACGAGCTGTTTCCAAACGCCGACCCCGTAGATATCCTTTACGATGACGGCGATGACACCATCGACAGCCGCAGCATGAGTCTCTGTAAGCGGTGGATAGGGAAGCAGGAACAGGCCGTGCATGTGACAGAGTTCAGAGGCATGGCTCATTTGGACATGGTCTTTAATCACAAGGTGCTGACGGCAATCCAGAGAATTCTGGAGGGAAAGTACCATGAGGAAAAGCATGTCAGCTTTGAACAACCTCCATCTCTTAGCCTTAGTTTTGTGTGACATATTCACAACTGCATTATAAGTGCACTGCAACACTGTGTATAAAGGTATTGCTGGGTTCACACCATGTTGTAATTACCGTAATCACGAGATGGCAACCCAAGGATGTGTTTTTTTATGAGTCGGAATCTCATAATTACAGTAATTCCGACATGGCGTGAATGTCTTAATGATCTATTTGTATTGGTTTATAATATATTAATAGGCATGATATAGTCGTATTTTTTCTTTGTTACAGTCTAGAACTGTATTTGTATTATACAGAATTTATCAAATGTTTTTAATCTGTACATTAAAGATTGCAGACACCATAGCTCTTAAAGTGTAAAATGTACTGGATGTTTATGTTTTATAGCATAATTTAAACTGTCTATGCAACTGTAATATGTTAATCACAGTTCATATATACAAATTATGATTATTTTTTAGGTTGTGAATGATATTGTTAAACTACTAGTTAAACTGCTGCTTACTATACATATAAAAACATGTTTATCCATATTATTGGTCCTTGTTATTTGTACACCTGTCTGTACACTGTACTGATAATATTTGTTGAACTCAGTAAACTTTGAACTGGTTTAGGAGTTCTAAGTCTGCTAAACATCAGCTTTTTTTGCAAACAAATTAAAATACGTTAGACAAAGGTTCAGAGTTCACACAGAAACGGGCAGTCATTTTGCCAGGAAATCTTTCCTTGCTTAGTTGGAAAAAATAATTGATCGTTTCTTTTGAAATATAGATATTTTGTCAGAATAGGATTTCTTTAATCAGTAACTCGTTTGGTACTATCTTTTCCCCTCAAATCTCTATGATCTTTGAACATCATCCTCACACAGAGTGAAACAAAGCAACCTGGCTACATGTGCACAATACGCACTAGATTTGACAATAATTCAATGATCATCCCCTGCCTCCAGTCGTGACAATAGCGAAATTTGACTGCTTTTTGATTATACATTTTAATTGCTTGACTATACATTTTAATGCTTACTACACAATAAAGACACACATTTTCATAAATAATACTAATTTAGCATGGCTGGAATTGACCAGTTAGCATCGATGATCAGGGCTATTTTTTATTCTTCTTATTATTATAAAAATACAATTTATTAAATTGTTTTGAGAAACAGATTTCAGTAATTTAATACATACATTTATTCTAATACAATTTATATTATTCAGATAACCTGTAAAAGTACAACAAAATGTTGTTCAGGCAGGATCAATTTGTAGGCTAATTTGGTTTATGCGTTTTATTCTGAAACTACATACAGACAGTTCATATAATCCTTAATTAGCATCTTAGATTTTTAAAGCACACGAGGATTTCAAAATTCACATTTGAGGTATGTATGTATGTGTAATTTATAGTGCAGAAAATAAAATCAATTATTGCAGCCTAGCTATAATCGAACTGTCTTTCAAAGCTCCGCCCACCGACTCGATGTGTTCTGCCGTTGTTTATTCGCGTCTAGCTGCTTTAAAAACACCTATTACATGATCGCTACATTGTGTGGTTCATCACAGTCACTGTCGCTCAGAGCCAGGAGAAACACTTCTCAGACCACTCCTAGACCTCACAATGGACAGATAAACACAAATGCACCCTTGATCCTGTAAGCCAGCAGAGGTGTGAGCCACTGAAAGAGATGCTTCCCTGTCATCGGTTGAACCTCGCGATTCTCCAGCTGTGTTTGTTGTTGTTGGTGTCTTTTACCGACGGCAGAAATTTGAAATGCTCACCGGGGAAAGTGTGCTCGGGCTCGGACCGACCGCCTGTTGTTCTCAGTAAGTTATTTTATTGGAGCACATCTTTTTTGATGTCCTGTTGCTTTTCTGTTCTTGACACCAGACACAGTTGTTTACTTGTCTCATGATGAACTGTCATGCGGTCTGTGTCTCAAAACCCAGTGTCCCCTACCTAGGCAACACTTACACTGTCCAAGTAGCTCACATGCTCAAATGTTGTGATAGCGTTTGCATGGACATTAGATTTTGTTATATAATACAACCACTAGTACAGGATGTACAGATAGTGTGTTTTAACCTCATATCCATGCTTGTTCAAGTATTATATAGAGTATTCAATATATGAATGTATTTATAAACGGACCTTAATCTAGTGGCTTAACGCATCTTCAAAGCTGTTGATATTTTGATAACCGTTTAATGCACGTGACCAAACAGGAGAGCTGTCGAAGAAATCAAAACCTGGTCCAGCAATATAAACACAACACAAACCCAACATGTAAAAGCCATTGACTTTTATATATTGCATTGGTGTTGTGTTTATACTGTCTTGTTTTGTGCCATTTTCTTCTTTGTATCGGTTTGTTTTCGCTTTGGCGGTTTCTCATATGACGCGATCATATGACCTGAGGAAAAAAAAAGACAATTCTATGTCACTGATTGCGAAACAGGTCGTAGTAAAACAAGAAAATAACACTTCTTTGTCCCCTTTTCATGGCCCTTTTGGCAAATTACGAAATGTATGATAACATTTAAAAAATTGTGAAAATACGTTATTTTTCAGACTTTATTATGGAAGTACCATGGTGTTGTCGTAATAACCTTTGTGTGTGTGTGTGTGTGTGATAACTTAATAGTATAAGACACTTTGAAATATCTTAATATGTAAGTACCATGGTATTTTATAATCACTGTTGCTAAAGACATTAAAGTTAGTATCTATGTTTTGGAACATGATAGCAGGATTTTAGTTGGTCCAAGAGTGTTTTAATGTGAACCATTTTCACCTCCTTGAGCTTGTACCAGTTAGAAACCATATAACATGCTCCAAAACACACCTACCAGTGGAGACTGGATTTCCCATCAGGTAGGCGTCTAAATTTACACTAGATCATTATTCAGCAATAAAAGATAGCTTAAATATTTTTTTTCTACAGTAATATCTAAAGCACACTTTTAAGTACGCTATTTGACTAGCCAATATTTACACGGCGTCTGATAGTAGGAGCACAAACATTTTGTGAATGTGGTGACTGACAATAAAGACACGCAAACTTTGCAGGAAACTGTACTTGGAAACATATTGGGGGGTTAAAATGGTTCAAACTAGACCAAACTGGCAGACATTAGTGCTGATAGAGATGTTTAATCAGTAGGTGATAAGTAGGTAATCTCTTTTGAATGGTGATAGTGTCAAGTCTTTTAAATCAGTTATTCTTTAATCATATCTAAAGTAGTTTGTGAAGTGCTTCTGATGGAGTTTCCCGTGAAAACATAAGTCACCATAAAATTGAAAATTCTTATTTTTTTAATGAATATTGCATTATTTATTCTAAATGATTCTAAGTGATTTATCATTCAAAAGATTATAAATGATTTATCCATAGTTCCAGGAGATCTTGGGAATCAGCTTGAAGCAAAACTGGACAAACCTAGTGTAGTGCACTACATCTGCTACAAGAAGACCAATGACTACTTCACGCTATGGCTCAACCTGGAGCTGCTGGTGCCGGTGGCCATTGACTGCTGGATTGATAACATGAGGTAAAGGGCAAAAGGACAACTGAAACCAGAAGTTGTGCATGTGATGTATCGCTGGCATATGACATCCATACCATTTTTGTAAGACAAGCTTCCTTCTTCTGCAACAACCTTTATTGAGTGCAACACTCAGGTTTCACAATTTAAAAACTCAATTCATTTTCTCCATAGAGATTAACAATTTATAAACCTTTAAAAACAGACCTACTGTGAGCTATATTGATTGTTTAAATTAGGCCCAAATGCACTCTATTGAATGTAAAATTAGTAGACATGTCATGAAGTACATTTTTTGATATTGAAACCACGCCTTTGCTTCTTTTGATTTCATGTCGCCTGCTTTAAATATGCAAATACGTCATCAGCATCTGTTTTGTTTAAAGGCTACTATACAATCGCACAACCCACCTCACTGAAGCTCCTCCGGGGGTGGATGTCAGAGTGCCTGGGTTTGGAAAGACGTATAGTTTGGAATATCTGGATCCAAGTAAACGGAGTGTGGGTGAGTGGAAACTGGGTGTTTTTCTCATTATGTTAATTTGTCGATTGGTAACTGTTTTGTCTGTTTCAGGCATGTACTTCTTCACTATAGTACAAGCACTGGTTGATTGGGGGTATACCAGAGACGACGATGTTCGAGGTGCTCCCTATGACTGGCGTAAAGCCCCCAGTATGTATCTTCTGTTTATGCACCAAAACAAAGTTCTGGGAAACGTGTTGGTTCTTGTCTTAATGTCTAAATTGGACATTTTTGTTCCCTGATCTGTACCTGCAGATGACAATAAGGAGTACTTCTTGCGTCTGCAGCAGATGATTGAGGAGATGGCTAATAAGGCTCAAAGTCCTGTGGTCCTCATCGCACACAGTATGGGGAACATGTACACGCTCTATTTCCTTAATCACCAACCGCAAGCTTGGAAGGACCGGTACATCAAGGCATTTGTTTCTCTAGGGCCTCCATGGGCTGGAGTGGCCAAAACTCTTAGAGTTCTGGCAACAGGTACAGGCTAAAATTGTTTTAGAATGGGATTTTCCCCTGGTTTCACAGACAAGGCTTAAGCTAGTCCCAGACTAAAATGCATGTTTGAGCTGTTTTAACTAAAAGCAACTTGCACTGGCTTATCCTAAAATCTATCAGTGCCAGTTTTGTCTCAGGATGCACACCACCAGTAATGTTTTTTTCTAAGACTCGTTTACAAAAGCTATATAAATGTCCTTATTGAACTAAGGCATAGTCCTGGCTTAATCTAAGACCTTTTGGTGAAACCAAGCCTTTGCTGAATTAAAGGTTATGTATGTAATTTTGTTTGACTGTACCAAACCTTAAAAATATCATAGAATGTTTGCTGAGATTTAGGATAATTGTTTCTCCAAAAAACAGTGCTACAGCCAGTTATTCTACTCTAAAATGTGCATTCTAAAAAAGACTACCCACCCACTGCCAATTTACCCAGTAGTATTTTGTCAACCTTGGGTTGCCAGATGGCGGAAAACACTGCGTATTGTAGCCATGGAAGCCAGCCAATGAACCGGTGTCAGAGATCGCAGATTCTACCCGACTTTAAAAGCCTTGTCAGTAAAAACATTGCAAACGAATGCATTAACTGATCAACTTGCGGTATAAGTCGCTTTCCAATTGCCAGTTGCGCTCGTTACTGTTGCGTGTACTCAGTCTGGCGATCCCATTTCAACCGCTAACTGTCAATAATACATACTGCACCTTTAAATTTGAACTTTTGTACGTCAATGCAATTCACATATACAGTGGTATTAATGCCCTCAAAAATGTCAAAATAGATTTTAAAGTCAACTGTCATGGTGATACAACAGTCTTGTCATCATAATGAAGGTAAAAAAAACTTGAAAAGAAAACCAAGTAGTTTGGCACAATCTTGTATTGCTATTTTTTTGGAAATAATATTATTTAATAACAATAATATTATTTAATAATTATTTCATTAACATTATGTATTTAATTCTTTATACAACAACGATTTTCAAATCAGCTTTAATGATTGAAATAATATTTAATTATTATATTGGTTAAACTTTTTACTTTTGAAAAAGTATTTAAAAACTTTTGAAAAAGTATTTAAAAACTTTTTCAATACGACTTGAACCCTGAAAATGGCAAGTTTTTTAAAACCATATGAAACGTTTCTAAGTGGCCATTCACATAGAACACATTTTTTAGTGAAATGAAAAAAAAACCTGCAAGAAAAAAAAGTGGAACCACTTTTAACTTGAACGCTGGACTTTTAGAACAATTGGTTGATCTCATGTGAATGACAGGTTGTCCCGCCCTCACGCCAGTAAACACGTCAACAACATAGTGAAAAGATGATGCTGCAAGAGGGAGGGGAAGTTATTTTGAATAAAGATCATATGAATTTGAAAAAATAATGACGTCCACGTATAAATCATTTATAAGCACTGCAATATTCCATAAAAAAACCCTGAAACGTCCATTTTGATTTTACTTTAAAACCCATTTACGATCACTGGTTTGATCATTTGATTTTGGTTCCATCACAGGCGACAACAACCGCATTCCCGTCATCAGTCCTGTAAAAATCCGCACCCAGCAGCGAACGGCCGTCTCCACCGTCTGGCTCTTGCCCTACGCCCACTCCTGGCCCAAAGACATGGTCCTGGTTTCCACCCCAAACACCAGCTACACAGTCCAAGACTATCAGCGCTTCTTCAAAGATATTGACTATGAGGACGGCTGGGCCATGAGGAAGGACACGGAACCGCTGGTCAGTGCACTTCAGCCTCCTGGCGTTCCTGTCCACTGTCTTTATGGCAGCGGCATTCCCACAGCTCAGGGCTTCAATTACACAAACTTCCCAGATGTAGACCCCACCGTCATCAACGGGGACGGAGACGGAACAGTCAACCTGTTGAGCGCCATGCAATGCAAACGCTGGAAGAGCCAGCAGACACAGCCTGTCCAAATGTTCGAGCTGCCCGGGAACGAGCACGTCGCCATGCTGTTGAACATAACCACAGTCAACTACATCAAGAATGTGCTGTTTACACCATGATGGCATTGAGGCTTTACACACTTCCCCTCTTTAACTTTCGGGACTTTGTTCTGCTTTTCGGGTGGATGTTCCTTTCCTTATCGGAATTTGTTGTCGGAGTTCCTTTTTGTGGAGTTGAGGTTTATCAGGACATCAATGATAAATAGTCATCTTTTGTTGGGCACAATCAGCATTTACAGAAATGATTCTTGAATTTTTACTCAGTTCAAATCTAAAATGTTAACATAGATTTTACTGCACATAGTAAAATGTAATTTCCAGTTGTTTAATGTGAAATGGCAATTGTTTGCCGTTAATCCTTGTCAATTACATTTTTAAATATTGTCTGTTTCTTAACCTTTATAAACTTTAACCTCTTATACACACAACTTCTTTAATCTACAGATTTTATCTAGTGCTTTTTTAAACGTTTCTATCCAAATTATACTGACACTGCAGTATCTCTGTTGATCCTACTAACAAGCAAGTGGCTATTTATCAGGCTGTCTATGACTAGTATTGATTAATGTATTTTTGTCAGATGTTCTTGAATGTAGAATGTGCCTAACGGCTGGATATCTCACTGTTGCTCAATTTACATCAGCTTAACCTCTAGACTGCATTTGTGCCACGGCCCAGGATGGGTTAACCCATGTTACATGTGAACAAAGTTTGCTCTTGAATATAATGAACAATGATTTGTGAAGCACATTATTTGTCGCTTTTCAAAAATGTTTTGAATTGAGGTTGTTAGACTAAGTTCTATTATAAAAACTGTATTTTAACAGTACAACACTAACCCCCGGTTTCACAGACAATGCTTAAATCTATTCCTGCACTAAACTGCATGTTTGAGTTGTTTTAACTCAAAGCAACTTGCACTGGCATATATTAAAATATGTCAGTGCCATTGTTTTACCTCAAGATGCACACCACCAGTAATGTTTTTTTCCAAGGCACGTTTGTAAAAGCTACGAAGATGTCCTATTTGAACTAAGGCCTAATCCTGGCTTAATCTAAGCCCTGTTTGTGAAACCAAGCCTAGCTGTGGAAAGTGAAACTTAATCTTTCAGTTTGAGGATGTGGTGTGTTGCTAAAAAAACAACAAAAAACAAGTCCGATGGTGAAAATGCAATGCTAAACCAGGGTGTGACTTTTGGTTTCTCAAACAACAGACAGTTGCCTACATGCCATGGGTTAGTGAAAAATCACCATGTTGCAGTAATGTACAATAAAATGCTCTTTACCAAAATTGTAATAACATAGAGATACTTCATCCATCATTGGTTCAAAACTTTCATTATATTAGGAAAACCTCAAAATCCACATCACTACTAAACAGTGTTTCATATGGAAGCTTATTTCACAGAATAAAAATATAAAAAAGCTTATTCTGACTTTATCGCACAATTCTGACCTTGCTCATAGTTGCAAGTGTAAATCTCACAATTTTGACTTTTTCTGAGAATTGTGAGTTTATATCTTGTTCGAATTGAGATATAAACAAGGAAAAAAAGTCAATTGTGAGAAAGTCGCAATTAGCTTTTTTATATTTTTATTCTGTGGCAGAAAGAAGCTTCCATAGTTTCACGATCATTGGAGGGAGAAAAGAAAGACTTTATTTCCCGTTTTGCAGCGAAGCTCTGTGCAGTTGAGCCGTATGTGAAAAGGCCCATCTTCATGAGCGTCAATGAGACTCTGAAAAGTAAAATCATTGGTTATTAGAATTTAGATTGCAATGGCAAAAACACACCAACTCTTCAACCTTTGCCTTTAATCAATACTTATCCATGTTTAGTGTGTGATGCAGATCTGCTTGGGTTCCTACCTGCAATTCTGATAAACATGCCTTTTTTAGGCTTTCCGTGTGGTCACCCACACACCAAGCAAGGCTTATGTGGAAAGAAGGATCCTATATGAAATAGAGGAGGCTGTTACATGAAATTTTATCTCAATTTGATTGTATTTGAATCTTTGTTCACAAATATGATACCAATGCCTTGTTTGTACCTTATAAAAGGTGCTGAGGTTGAATTCTTTCATGGTTTGATCCAGTATTTTGATGAGCTCAAGCAACTGAGTTTTTCCAGTGGAGATTTCCAAACCAAGGAATGTCCTGCATGAACTTTATGCCATTAAAACAGTGCATTGAAATGAAGAAATAAATAATACACAGTCTAGTTAGGTAATTAACAGCGAGAGTAATGAAATACCTAGTCTTTTCAGCATTAGAATACACCATCAGTTTATCAGCCAAGCAGAAAAACCTGAGGAAACAATCTGACTTAGACAGCCAGCAACTGACACGTTATAATGAAACAATGAGGTGTTGATTATATAGCACAGACTTCTGGAAATGTGTCACACCAGTCCGAATGGACTGGATGAACGGTTGAATCCAGTGATGCCGCAGAACCACTGTCTTTGAGAGACTGAGGTGAAACTCTTCAGATAGGGCCAGAGGGATGCCGTGGGCTGCCGCAACCAGCATCATTTCATTTAGCACCTCCAGAAAGGCCTCCTCAGGGTCATCTAAAAAGGGTTAAAGGTCATTCAGAGTAAAATGACAGTATCGATCTAAATACACTCAGGCAAAACGCTTACAAGGAAAGAACATGTATGTAGCCCAGTTGCCCCGCTCGTGCTGGAAGGACCGCATTCGCCCTCCATGCTCATCACTTTTATCGGTCCACTTTTCTTCTGATTCTCCGAACATCTCCCTTACACTCTCGGGAAGAGGCAGACGAGGTGTCAGGTGGGCTGATTTGCCTGCTTTGCTTTTAACAGACCCAAGATCCAAAGGTTCACTGGTGCTATTCAGGTAAAAGAGGAATTTAGAGCCCTAGAAATGCAAATAAAAATAAAACTAAACCACAGAAGATCAAACGCACCAAACCTGCTTTCATTGTCAAGTTTTCCTCTTTTCCTTGAAGGTGAGGAATCATTTTTTGAAGAGTTTTCAGTTTCATCTTCAGAACTGCTACTACTGTAATTGACAATCATGTTAAGGCCGAAAAATCTTAAAAACTGCAACAGATGATTAAAAATACCATCTCAGATACGTGACGACACTCTTATTGTCATGCGCAAAGCGCTTCCGATGGTCCGGCTTCTTCACAGCGTCCCACTACAACAAACAATGGGATTCGTTAACGAATCATTTTTTTTTTTGAGTCGGATCTTTTACAATGCATCCGTTGAACCGGTTCATATCACAACCTAGCGTGTGATTGCGTTTCTTTGTACGGCGTTAAAAAGTTATGTTAGTGACCGAATATTTATTGTTTTCTCAGCCGAGAGATTACTGTCAATTTTAGTATTAATATATTTTTAAATACATTTTCCTAGATGGTTTTATTCAATGCATGGATACTTTTGTATAAGTGCGTAAGAACCGGTTCTTTAAAACTAGCCGTTTGAAAGAACCGATTCAGAGAATGATTCGAACCTCTAAAAACAAGAAAACAAACGGTGCTTCATCACAGCGTCCCACTACAGCAAATATTGATTCATATGGTTCCGACTATTTTGCATTCCGCCCTTACACAAAAAAAAAAAAAAAGAAAAAAAAAAGAAAGGAAAGGAAAGAAAGCGCAGCTGCAGTCAACATTGAATTTCAGCAATGACCTACGTTTATACAAACAAAATGTTGACGTTTATTGTCTTATTAAAGCTTTATAACTATTATCCTGTCACTACAATAATTCCCCAAAAGTGTTTTAATAAAATAACCACTTGCCCTATAACGTTACCCTAAAACAGTGATAGACACATTTTTCGTGGTAAAAATTGCGTTTTTAGTACGAATATTAATATATAAATAAAAAATAATCAAATTAATGAAGTTCCGGTATGTTTTGTGAGGATGCCAATTATGTGTTATTCAGGTTCCCGTGCGGCTGTCGGGGGTTTCGGTGGTCAGCGATCTAAGCCCGAAATAAAACGCACTATGGGTCGGCCATTCCTCGCCAGTCAGCTCCCCTAAATGCGCTGCAAACGCCGAAAAGACTGTTATCGGGGTTTTATGGAGCAACCCAACCGAAATCCGGAGAGTTTGCAGGGTTTTCATGTGTTTTTGCAGGCACTGGCCAGGGGTGCGGCCTAGCAGAGACCGCGGATCGGTCGGAGGATTTACGGCCTTCAGAAAATCACTATAACGTTAAGCCTTTTCTTGATTGAACTTCTATCCCTGAGAATAAACATGGATGGAATCCACTTCTGAAAAAGGGTAATATGCATATCTAAACATATTTTAGAAGGATGTGTTTGTGTGTGTTGCAAAGCTACTGTTAGCCTGTTAGCCAGCTTGCAAATATTCGTTAGCCATTTTGCAAAGCGATGTTTTTGTGTTTTCATCCAGGTGTCTTAGACATCGCCTTGTTCTATAAGCTATTGGCTAACTTACTGTGTTGTACATCAATATTAATTCTGCTTAACGTTTAAAATCTGTCCCCGGCTTTTATTCGCCGCGATCGAAATGTGTGTAAAAAACGAGGAGCAAACAGAAGCGTCAGTCGTTATCTTTATGTATTATTACATTTTCTTAACCATGCATGCATGCTTTGGAACAGCTGTGCCACTTTTATACACACAGGTGATTAATACTGTTTGGCAATAGACTGTGTCTCAAAAACTAGCGTGCTACTACTTGGACAGTATTTTGGGCATCGTATGCACGTTCTGTGCCCCCACTGCCCCACATTGCTATAGGTTGGTGGGCAAGTCAGTCTCGCTATCCAGCACGAAACTTGAGGTGTACCAGACAGATACTCGTACCTGTGTTATTATCACTGGGATAAAGTCTGTCAGGTTTCATTTGTTCATTTAATTTCTCCTTGGTTTATTGTTAGTTTATTAAGTGCTCAGATACGTTTATACTAGGTTTGTAAGATTTGGAGTGCATTGGTGGAAATTATATAGATCTCCTTACAGACCAGCTAGCCAAGACTCAAATCCAGATGTTGCAGTAAAGGTTAAGGGCGTTTTCATTCCTTATGTAACCAACTATATCAAGAAGTGGTTCACATGAGCGCCACTATCTGTTTCTTTTCTTTTCATAAAGCCCACTTTGATGCCTTGCCAACAGTCACTGTAACTCAATGATGACTTCTAGTCAGTTTTATGCTGCAAGCCGCTGTTAGTTTTTGGGCTTATTGTACAATAGGGTTATTTTATTCTGTCCCAGTCGGACCAGTAGTTCAGAATTTTTTATTTGTCTTGCCATCATTTTGACTGGAAACACACATTTTAATTTTAGCAATGTTTTTATGCCAGAAAAGTACATATTTTTCATAGAACGTTCATTTTTAAGTTAAGTCTTCATTGCCGTTTTAATAAACCCTTAAATATTGCAAAATTATATTACTCTGCAAAGGTGGGGCAGAAGGTAGCTACTGAAGTGGCATTTAGGTGTCTGTACACCAACTGTTTATATGCTGTCTATAGGTGGGTCAGAGCAGGCATAATTTAGCATGGCTTTTATCTGGCATTGCATCTTTACACTGAATTTTTGTCAGGCAGAGAGCAGCCTTAAGTTGGCTGCGTAAAGACGCCTTATGTCAGCCAGTTAGAGAATGTTACCTTGGTAAAATTTAAATTCGCACAATATGCAACAACAATATTAAATGTAATATTATTTTAAATTTGAAGTCATCAACAAATGTATGAGGTTGAATTGGCCCAAAACTCTTTCACAGGCCATCTTTTTTTGTGGAGCACTGCAGTGTAAATGCCCCTAAAGATGTGTGCTGGCTGTGTAAGTTTTTCATCCAGTTTTCTTGATTTTGTTTTTTCTTACAGGGCTGTACCAAGGTGATGAAGAAGGTCAAGGTCATTTGCACTTGATGCTCACATCCGTGTCAGTTCTCTGTTTATAGCTACTTCCTTTCCCATCCGGAGCAGTCCAACAATCCCTTCCCCCTGAATTCATCCAGAAAGCGGTCCAACTACGGCTCAAAGCTGAATCCATACACCCGAGCACGTATGACGGAGGCGTGGCAGCAGCATGCTGTTGCCCCGCCTCCAGTCGTGCACACCATCCCACCAGGGGCGGACACACTGGGCTGCACCGTCTACGGCATCGTCCTCCAGCCGGACGCGGCATTGCAACAATCCCAGCAGCAGCAACAACAACAACAACAGCAGCAACAACAGCAGCAGCATCACAGTCAGCAGCAGCATCCGGCACAAGCGCAGCAGTCCTCCTTGCATGTAGGGAGCGAGGGAGGACACAAGTGTGGTGCATGTGGCCATGACATCTCCCATCTGGCTAATCCACATGAGCACCAGTGCATGGTGAGCCAAGATCGTTCGTTTCAGTGCACGCAGTGTCTGAAAATCTTCCACCAAGCCACCGACCTGTTGGAGCACCAGTGTGTGCAGGTGGAGCAGAAACCTTTTGTGTGCGGAGTGTGCAAGATGGGCTTTTCGCTGCTAACTTCTCTAGCGCAGCATCACAATGCCCATAACAGCGGAAACCCCATGAAGTGCTCCATATGTGAAAAAACGTATCGACCGGGTTCTGGAAATGCCACACCAACTTCGTCAACGGCCAACCCAGGGCAACCATCCAACGATGAAGCATCGTCTAGTGGCAGCGCTGCCGTCGGGACATCAGGCCAGCCTACATTTGAGCCTTCGCAACCTGACAAGCCGTACAAGTGTTCGGTGTGCTCCAAGGGCTTCCGTCACTTATCCGAGCTCACACGTCACGAACGCGTCCACACAGGCGAGAAGCCGTTTAAATGTGAAACATGCGACAAAAGCTTCAGCCAGTCCTCTCATCTTGCCCACCACCAGCGTACCCACAGCTCCGAACGACCATTCAAGTGTGCGGTGTGCGAGAAGAGCTTCAAGCACCGCTCCCACCTAGTCCGTCACATGTATGCCCACTCGGGTGAGCACCTTTTTAAGTGCAACCTCTGCGAGTTGCACTTCAAAGAGTCTTCCGAGCTCCTCCACCACCAGTGTCAGCCGCAAGGTGCTCGGCCGTTTCGCTGCGCCACATGTGGGAAGGGCTTCAAGCGTCCGTCCGACCTGAGACAGCACGAACGCACCCACTCGGAGGAACGCCCGTTCCACTGTGAAGACTGCCAGATGAGCTTTAAACAACAGTACGCCCTGGTGCGCCACCGACGCACACACAAGGCCTCTGCCGACCGCCCCTTCAAATGCAACCTGTGCGACAAGGGCTTCCTGCAGCCGTCCCACCTGTTATACCACCAGCACGTTCATGGCATGGACAACCTCTTCAAGTGCGCCTCCTGCGGCAAGGGCTTCAGTCAGTCTGGAGAGTTGCTACGTCACAAATGTGGTGAGGCCTCCTCGACACCCACAAATCCAGACAAGCCCTACAAGTGTGACGTGTGCGGAAAGGCTTACAAAAAGGCCACCACGCTCCAGCGCCATCAGAATTCCCACTGCACCGAGAAGCCTCTCAAATGCTCGCTGTGTGACCGACGCTTCCTGTCCTCCTCAGAGTTCGTGCAGCACCGATGCGACCCAAGCCGTGAGAAGCCCTTGAAGTGTCCTGACTGCGAGAAGCGCTTCAAGTACTCCTCGGAGATGCAGCGACACAGGCGCGTCCACACCGGAGAGAAGCCCTACAAGTGTGCAAGTTGCGACAAGGGTTTCAAGCAGCGTGAACACCTGGCCAAGCATCAAAGCGTGCATGCGAGAGATGCCCAGTTTAAATGTGTATGGTGCGGAGAGCGTTTCGCTGATCTAGGAGCCCTTCAAGAGCATACTGTCCAGCACACGGCTGAAGGTGGCGGGTACCCTGTGTCTTCTCTCATTCAGTAACTTGTGTCCCCGATTACATTCACAGAGGTTTTAGGAATCTCAGCAAACTTTCCCAGTCAAAAATAATTTTTACAAGGCCCAGTAACCTCATAATACCTCATTTTGTTCTAAACATGCATATACTCAACAAGTAGTTATTCCCTTTTTGATGTCTAGAGGCATCATTTAATTGGGTTTGATTGGCAAACAAAGATGAATCCTGGGAGGACAGAAACAGATCTTCAAACTCTATCCCAGAAAGCACTGTGAGTCTAGTACAGGAGGGCAGCATTTGCCCTGCTTCATGGCTCCTTGGCCAGCTGTGGCTCACAATGCCCTTCAAGATCTTTAGAGCACAAGACAAAAACGATTTGGTCTGCAACTATTTGTTCAGTCTTGAACCATCATATAGAATCAGCTGTCCATTTTTAGTATTGCATTATAGTACCTAGTATGGTTGAGATACTGCTTACTGTGTGCCTCTACAAAAGAACTCTACTTGGATCTCTAGCCTTGCTCCAATTTGAGTACATTGTACGCACATTGGGAGCACCTCCAGCAGCCTACTGTGCGCATTTAGTTCACCCCACAATTGAAGACAAAACGAAAAGGGGGAAAAAGTTGTGCTGTTATAAACTGTTGAAACTGTCTATGTCAATGTTGACGTTCTCCTCGTGGCAACTAATGGTATGTACCAAAAACCATCATTGTACTGTACCACACCCTAAACGGGACAGATCGTTAACCAGCAGAAGTATAATGACCTCAGACGGTCTCTACATTTCACTGAGATTATACGTAAATATATAGAATCTAAATAGAAATGTAAACTTGCATACAAACAGTTCATATTACCACCAGAATCAGTACAGCTGTCCTAAAAATTGCTTAAAAACCTGTAAAGGCTTCCTGTATTACTGTATGTACATAGTTAGTATGTATACAACTTGTTTAACAGTTCTGTCATTAGATATTGCATTGTCTTTCTTAAACTGCACCAGTTATAAGTAGCTTTTCATGTTCTGATTCATACATTCTTTACTTTTTGTTTCTGATTTGCCTTTTTTAAAGTTAAATTCAGCCTCTTTGTAGATGTAGTTGGGATTGTAATTGGTGTATTCAAGGTTGTGTGAAAGTTTAGTCTGTTTTTATAAAGGTTTTTGCCCCTTGCCCCCCTCCCCCCACCTTTACAGGACGTGTGTACTTGTTGTACAGTACCCTAAGTGTCATTCTATGTCTACTGTATAGATTTATCCATGTGTTTGATCTCTAATCTGCCAACTCCATGTCTTGCCTACAGTCATTTCCCTTTTGCAACATGACGGTGAGTCTTTGTTTCCCTGTTATTTTCTTTTATAAAAACTATAATCAAAGACTTTCAAAATGTATTTTAGGCTTCCCCCAGGATCCAGGAGGGAAAGTAATTGTTTTGGGCCTTTAAGGCCTTGATTTAAACACACGTCATTCAGATGTTTTTGTTAGTGAATGTCTGTGTTGCATACTCATCCAACGATAACCAGTATGTTCTTCTGAGAATTTTTTTAAACTGACTTGTATAGAAAAATATGTGTATATATTTAAATATAGACATATTTGAGTGGTACTCATACAAGAGTAATCTATGGTTTTTTGAATCACGTGCTCTCCTTGTTTTAATTTGAGAAGAATATACCACTTTTTGTAATGGTCCACAAAGCTGAATTTTAATAGAACTGTTCAAGTCTTGATTTGCCTACTTTTTTATTTTTACTTTACCCCTCCCACCCCATCGCAATTTCCCATCATCCAACATGGGCCAAAATGACATTCTTGGCTCTGTTGCTTATGCAGTATTATATGTTGATTACTGGCCCTTGAGGATCATCTCCCTCTTGCAGTTAGGTTTCGCCTGTTCCTGCAGGGTTAGAGGTGATGGTGACACTTTGGCCTTAAGCAGGGACGTCTAGTTTCTCCGCAGAGCCCTTGGCCTCCAATTTTTTTCCCCTTTATAGTATCTATTTATGCAAGGGGCTTTTTTTAAACCATAGGCATTAAGAATGAATAAGCAGTTGGATTTCATAAGTATGTTGTGTTTTCATGTTTGTATATTAATTTTTTTTATTAATATTGTTTAAAATCTCTATAAATATCTATATTCTTGGCAGACGTGTCAGGACCACAGGGGAACGTCGACCTTCGATCGATGACCTATGGTTTTGAGACCTCTCCACCCCGTGCATGCTTGCTGTGTTAGTTCCTGTAATCTGTTCCAAGTATCTGCGCTTCTAAGCGCACATACTTATCCTTAGCTTTTTTTCAAATTGTAGATTGTGAATGAGCTACTAAAAGAAGTTCATGTGGCAGTTGATGTGACATTCATGCTTAAATATCTGTATGTAGCATTTAATATACACAGCACTAACTAATAAACCTTTTCATTAATAATGCATTGTTGTGTCATTTCTATGTGCATTTATTTTCTTTATATTGATGCATTATGTGTTTTAAGCTGAAATTTCAGAAGATGATAAATGTATGGGCATCTTCTTGGGCATTGAGGTTATTTAGGACCTGGTAGCTCTTATATCAGAACCCATACAATCCAGAATCTGTGGCTGAATGTCGTGCAGGAACTGGTTTGGCTCCAGCAGCAATCCGAAGCTTGTCCCAGGATTTCGTGAATGTTTTTAATGCCATCTGGAAATATAAAAAAAACAGACAATTAAAAAACCACAATGAGCTGATTAATTCTAGAAGTGTCTTATGACCATGTCTTTAAAATAAATAATAATAAAAAAATAAAGGATAAGAATCCTCACCTCTGCAATCTCCACCTTGCGTTCCCATTCCTTAACACTCTTCTGCAGTTGGCCGTGGGACTCTTTAACCTCGATGTATTGTAGGACATTTGGTACATGATAGTCGGCCAACTGGCCCCTCAACTTCCCGTTCAGAGCCTCTGCTTTGTTTCGTTCCTGTCAGGAAAAATAAAATCCATATTATGGCTTTTTGGCCAGTGGAGTATCATTCCAACTAGTACAAATACCTAGTTGGTTTAGCCTTTTTCTTGATTTTTAAAGTGTAAATAATTGGTTATTTACTGCCATGATGTTGGTTTCTGGCTCAGATACTCAAAGCTCTTGAGGAGCTTTATGGTGGTCTTTCTACAGATCTGTAAGTTTAACAAGTACATAGAAGGAATTTCATTATCCTGACCTCCTCCGCTTCCTTGATCTCCTCCTCAATCTTAACCAGTAACTTCCTCCGTAAAGCAATGTCACTGTTCAGCACATCTGACTCGAGTGTCAAGGTCTGAAGCTTCTTCTGCAAGAAGGGGACATTGAAAAAAATCTCTAGACACTTAAGGACGATAACGATAAAGATATAGTTCTAAATATTAAAGAATAACAGAGTCCAACGGCACAGAGAAACAATCAGAAAGATTTTTTCTAGCTGATAAAAACATTGACAGCCAATCAGAATCCATCCTATTTTAAAGAGCTTGAGCATTTAAAGCGACAGACGGCCAAACTGCAGCGCGTGTTTAGAATGAACAGAACTGTATCGTCCGCTGGTGTGGACGCTAGTATAGTTTTCTTTGTAGTTATCATTCTTGTTGTGAACAGGCCTTTACAGTGCCCACACTTTTAGGTCAACACAAGGCCAACAGTTTCCTATAGTAATAATGACCTGTCCTAATACTGTGGCGTGTGGCTCAACAAATAGGTGATATTTTCTATGGTTAACCAAGAATCACCTTATTAGAATTCAAGGCCTGCAAGGCATTCCCTGCAAGCAGTTTGAGATCCAAATGTTCAAGGTTTTGCTCGTCCAGTCGTTTACGAGATTTGATGTTCTCAAACTTGAGCTGCTCTAAGTCCAGCGCCGTCAGTCCCTCACTCATCTCCTCCTGTTGCTTTAGCTGGACCTGTAGTTTTTTCTTGTGTGCGACGAGTGCTGTATTCTTCCGATGCAACTTCTCGATCAAGTTCTCCTGGAAAGATGGCACTTTATTGGGAATTTAAATCACAACTCTTGTCAGAATAAACCTGCGACTTGAAGTTTTCTTTTACCTTGGCCCTTATTCTGTCCTCAATGTATCTGATGACCTTCTCAGCACTCATCGTCAAACACTTTTTGTCCTGCAGTGCTTTACAGATGTCACGATCAAACTGGCAACATTCTTTTTTAACCTCTGCCAAGTGGATATCAGCTTCTTCCAGAGTTGCCTAAAGAGGGTAGAATCAATTATATAAGCGTATGTAGTATATTTGTGACAAAACTTTATGAGCTTGTTCCCTCTCTTGACTAATGACCTTGTAATTGTCCAGCTCTCTTTCTGAATGGTCTTTCGCTCTCTTCACATCCTCATTCATCTGTTTAAGCACGCTTTGGGCAACATCACATTTCTGTTCCAGTGTCAGGAGCTGTTGTCTCTCTGGAGTGCGAACTTTAGTTTTCCTTCCTGGACTCTGGAATCAAAACATTGACAATGAATGAATGAACATCATGCATGGACCACTCATAAAAACACTCCTGTTTTTTTATTATTATTGTTAATTATTATTTATCCCTATAAAGCCTACTGTATCTAGTTTTGATGCACACATTTCTTGATCAAAACTTTGCTGAAAAACCTGCTGTACACAATCTATTACAGTCTGTCGTCTGATTGATAGTTTATACTTTTTTAGCAAGTAAAAGGCCTTTTAATATAACTGTTTAAAAAAAGTCCTCCTTCAGGTCGTGGTGCATGTGTCTTTATGCAGTGAAATCTTTACTGATTTTTAAAAATTAAACATAAGAATAACTTTTATATTGCTAGTAATATTTCAAGATGAACACTTTCTGAACTGAAGTAACTTAGGTTTACTTGAGTATGAAAAAATCATGTTAAAATGTATGAAATATGATGCATCAAGCTTTTGAGCAACGTTTATTTGTAAATCTCTCAATCGTCGTTGATAGTTGTATTGCACTGCATCATATGTTTTGTCCCCCACAATAAAAAACTATGGAGCATTGATCATAAAGCTTAGAATTTAAATGTCATCTTACTAAGACATATTATCGGAAGATCTACCCACGGTTTCACAGTCAAGGTTTAAGCTAGTCCCAGTCTAAAATGTAGAGCTGTTTTAACTGAAAGCAACTTGCACTGAGATATCTTAAAATATGTCAGTCAGTGCCATTGTTTTGTCTCAAGATGCACACCACCATTGTCTAAGACTCAAAACGACTTAAATGTCCTAACTGAACTAAGGGCTAATCCTGGCTTAATCTAAACCCTGTCTGTGAAATGGCCATAGTGACAATTTTATATGCATTTAATTTTATGTAAGTAGTCTATACTGTTATAAAGATCTCAATGATTAGTATTTCGAACAATTATTTATGTCAGGCTTTACAGGATTAAAGAACAGAACGAACAACGTAAAACGTATTATATTACAAGATTTACATGCACAGTCATGTTCACCCATAGACTGTAAGGTTTCACCTCAAAACTTGAGAGTGAAAGCATAACGATAAAGACGTCACGACCTTTTTTTTACAGTCGTGGTCACTACGCACTAAACATTACATCAGATCTGTCTGTATGCAATTGTATACATTATTAAACACAAATATATGCTATTTAAAAAGCATGTAAAAAAAAAAAATATATATATATATATATATCAATACGTAACGTTACCGTTGGTATTTCCATCTGTGATGTTTCAAAAGCCTCCGATTGAGTCTGAAGGTCCAGTCGACTAATATATTGCTCACATATACCGACCTCTGCTTGTAGCGCTGCATTGGAGCGCCTTAAATGTAGAGAAATAAAAATTAGTTGTGTTTTTTTTACATGTTAAAAATCATATAAAATACAAAATTGTTTGCTGATGCAACCAGAAATAAAAAGTTCAGAAACCACGTTCAGTTAAAATGCGGCTGGTCCTACTGGTTATTATTAACCAGCTAAATAAGAGTATTGAAACGCTTTTTTTTTTGGCAAACATGACTGCAAGATTAAGTCAACATTTGAAATAGAAAAAAAGCTTTTATGACTTACTTTAAGTCCTTTACAAGTTCAACAAGTTGGTTTTGATCCGTGTCAGTTTTACTGTGCTCTGTCGTAGCTGCCATGGTTGCTTGTTGCCATGGTTACGCGCGGGCGTTTGTTTCGCCCTTAATAAATTATTGGTAGACTATTAATCAATAAACACATACATTCATTATCCATTGTTGTGATATTCGATGAAAAACGCATATTCCAAATAAGCACGTTTTAATATGAATTTTAATTTAGGGTCAGATTGTAGCTTATCAGACAATGTCCACCATAATTAGGAAAGACACTTAAATAAATAAATAAATAACATCAAAATTGTTATTTATTATTGAAAACAGTTCTCTTATAAGGATATTTATACACGATTTATTTCAATGGTAGATTTACATCAGTGTATGAAACGATGAACACAGCCACACATTTCCTCAAAATGTCTGTTAGACATCAAACGGTAGTCAAATATGGGCGCATAGCAACGGAAGGACATGCCCAGTGACCATGACCATAGATAATACATACATACAGATCCATCATTAGCGACTGTAAACCGTCCGCCATACTGGAACGGTCAAAGCCGGTTCGTAAACACTCGAGAGCAATCGTAGTTATCCACATCTGATATCTATATCTGCAATAGAAAGATTAGAAGATGATTTTCATAGAATTTAGTTTATCGTTAATGTTGCACAATTCTGCATATGGATATTACATATTGAGTTATAAAAACACAAACAAATACATTCTTACCTCTGAAAGGTTAGTCCATTTTGAATATAATGTATGTCGGCGGTTTTTACAACCATATGCCAAAGAGTATATAAGTACTTCTATACTCTTTGATATGCTGCACAATACTGTATCTTTTTCGATGGAAATGTATTTATTTGTTAGTGCGAGTGATGAACAGCGTCATGTTGACCGTTCCAAGATGGCGGAAGCGTCGCCGAGTTTGGAGCTGGCGCATGTGGCTTCTACATATAGATATCTATGGATATCTATGGCCATGACAAACTTGTACTTCCGGATTTTTGATGCTAATTGATAAAGCTATCTTGCGCTTCCGGGTCAAATCGTTCCAGTCCGTTTTTCCTGCAGCAGCACGGGGGGATTGGTCCGGAAAACCCGAACCCCGATCACAAGCAGAACGCTGCACGGGATTATAAACGGTTTTCGCGATTATTGCACAACGACTTTACGCAAGCGACGTCACGGTGACACGGTTTTTCACTGGGGTCGGGTAAAACATCGATCTGTAGTCCACCGCCTCTCCCTCTCTTTCTAACCAGTCAATATCCTGAAGCTCAGGAACTGATTAGTTATATTCTACTCACTTACGGTGGACTGTATTTTCCAACATCCATTTGCTACAGATTGAAGACTGAGAAAAAACACATCCTGGCTTTTTTTCTCGGATCTTTATGCTTTGGATCTAGGGATTTGAGGCCCCTTTGGGGTGGTGGGGGGGTTTAACCCACAATAATTAGATCTAAACAAACCCCCCCGCCTAGGACTCAGTCTATTTTTAAACCAAATAACTTTTCACAAAACTTAACACATACAGGTCCAAAATAGACCTTCTAGACTTCATATTCGCATCTTTGTATGCGATATTAGCACTGCCAGAGCATTTCACACTCTATCCACTATTCATTTTCACCCCCGGATCTCCAGGCGGTCTAAACACCGCTGACAAACCGGTGAACGAGTGCTGCTCATCGGCCACCGCGCTCCATCTTTTACGCCGCTGATATCAGATATTACACGCCCGAACCGGATACCATCAGACCCCCCCGTGCTGGTCTACATCTGATCAGTGGTACTCCGTCTGTGTGTTTTGGATTGGATTTGGCGATCGGATTTCTCCTACACCCTGAGCCCCGTTGCGCGCCATGCCCGGCCCGGTGGCCGGTAGTAAATCTCGGGTGTATGCCGATGTCAACACTTTGAAGAGCAGGGAATATTGGGACTACGAGGCCCATGTGCCCACCTGGAGGTGAGATATTTAAAGCTATAAAAGTGCATCATCATCTGATGTTGTGTTTCAAAATGCCTAGTGAGCTGCCTACCTAGGCGCGTTCACGTGCATAATTTTGTGCATGTATCTGCTGGTTTTCTTTGCGCAGTGGTTCACATTGTAGGCTCGATATCGATCGTGCTGGGAAAGTCATCAATCTGTGTGATCGAGCAGCCCCTGTTTGAGAGCTGGTGATGAGAGGATGACATGAACGGATTTACAGATTCAGCGTTAGAGAGCAGTGTGTGTCCTCCTCAGCATCCACAGATTTTATGCAAATGCACCGATTCCCTCAAGTGTGCAATCCACATCCAGTAATTACCATTCTAAACCAGCGCACTAATAGAACATTTAGTGGTTTTAATGGTTAGATTCCTCTGGAGCAGTTAATGTGTTTCTGTTTTGCACAGTGCACATATATAATTGTGCTGTCGTTATTTATTTATTTTGTATACTTTACTGTGGAACACAAAAGGAGAATTTATCTTAGCAATCTTCATGCCAGCTCTTTTCCATACAACGGAACTGATCAGTGACTGTCAACACCCTCCCCCCCCCCCAATTTTTTTTTTGGACAAATATTTTTGTTAAGAGTCGAAATTAAGTCATTATTAAATGTGACTTCCAGTTCGAATATGCAGAATGGAAAGTACATTTGAGGCTTTAGCTTTTTATGCTGTTTTTATTTTTTTTAACATTACAACTGTTGCATGAAACAGAAAACTGCATAAAAATGCTCCATTTGAATTCAACAGAAAAATAACAATTAAATTAAATTAAAACCAATCCTTTAAAGAGGACCTATTTTGAAAAATTCACTTTTACATGGCGTTTGATACATAAATGTGTGTCGGCAGCGTGTACACATCCACCCTATAATAGTAAAAATCCACCCACTCCTTTTTTTTAATCCCCTTAAATCATAAGCAGTGCCTCAGAACAAGCGTTTGTGACAAATGATTAGACCCCGCCCACAATTACTGATGGGCTCTGCCCTATTATCATAGACCCGGCCCAGTCCACTGTTTATCTCCTCACCAAAGCATTTAACAGCTGCATAAGAAATTTATTCTTATTAAAGCTACTAAGTTATTAAATCAAGAGGAGTAAGTGATTTTCATTTTCTTTTGTTGTTTGATTCATATTAACACATTAGCAGTAGGTATGCTGCTTTCATTTTAATACACAATCCAATTATACACGTGATTTCTTGCTGTTGATGTTCAGACATAACCGACTGTGTTTATTTGAACTTTGTGTGTTTTTGACATAACATTGTGTGTATTTGACCGTTTAAACGCAATAAGACATGAAAGAGAACTTTGTTTAATACTCAGGGGATGCACCGTCTGACATCCAGCTTTCTGTGCAAGTAAACATATCACGTTTAGACTGATATGGCTTTAAAACTCAAGCAGATAATACATTTTCATCATGATGAAGAACTGCAGTGTCACTTGAGCGTGACTGCGATAGAGATGATAATCAAAACAAAACAGATGTTTTGTTAGTTTTTGGCAGATTATCCAAGGCACAAGCTGTATAGGCTCCGCCCTCTTCTGGAAAGCGGGATGGGAGCAGCAGCTCATTTGCATTTAAAGAGACATGCACGAAAACAACATGTTTTTCTTTCCAATCAAAAATGGCCTGGACATTTACAACATGGTATAATACATGATCTGTGGGTTATTTTGAGCTGAAACTTCACAGACACATTCTGGGGACACCAGAGACTTATATTACATCTTGTAAAAAGGGGCATAATAGGTCCCCTTTAAACCAATCAATTAGTGGGCGATAATGTTTTAGATCTCTACTTCTAACTTAATGTGGCCAAGTGTCTATTTTGTATGGCGTTGGTGAGTTATTTTGATGTTTGTATTGTTATTGTTAACTAAAACAATAAAAAAAAGTAAATTATATTAAATTTAATAACCTTAGGCTGAATGAAAACAAGAAATATTGCCTTGGGAATTAAGTTGAACTAAAATTTGAAACTAAAATACTAAAATTTCTAAAACAAAAAGTGAAATAAAAATAAATTAAAGCTAAATCGAAATTTAAAAAAAATACTAAAATTTAAACTGATATTCAAATGAAAACTGAAAATATACAAATAAAAGCTTATTCAAAATATATAAATAATACTAAAATAAAACTGTTGGATCCAGCTGACTATTTTTTTTTTTAAACCTATAGATAGTACATTGTAATGCATATGCCCAACTGTATTTGTAACATATTTCTTCATGTTAAGCCATTTTGATTTGCTACACACAGATAAAAATATGATTCTGAATGTACAAAGCTCTGTGAGAATAGTGGCATTTGCCTCATTATTATAGCTAAGAGTTTCAGACAGCAGACCATTGCTTAAAATGTCGTCTTTGGCTCCGTCCCTCGGTAGAGACGTCAGTCAGCCCTCAGCTGACAGGGGAAATGATGGGCTTGGTCATTTTCACAGATGGTTGACTGTTTCAGCCCCCTTCTTGCTAGCAGAAGCCGTGTGTTTGCATTCTGGGCTGGAGATGTTGGTTTCTGCTGTAGATCCTCTATCTGACTGGCATGTGAATCTGTGTACCACCTGCAGTAACCAGGAGGATTACCAGCTGGTACGGAAGCTCGGGAGGGGCAAATACAGTGAGGTCTTCGAAGCCATCAACATCAACAATAATGAGAAGGTTGTGGTCAAAATCCTCAAGGTGAGAGTTTGTGTGCATAATCAATATGACCCTTGCCTTGTCAACTACCTATTTAGGGCTACAGAATGTTGTCATTAGCTGAAATGTTGTGGTTTTTCTGAGGTAAATTTAATGTAGATTTATTCCAAACCGATAGTTTAATATGATTTTATTAGCTTGGTGAAATTTCAGTGTAAATAGTTGTATATTTTGTGATTTTTATGCTCACCAAGGCTGCATTTATTTGAACAAAAATACAGTAAAAACAGTAATATTGTGAAGTATTTCTGAATACCTTTAGTTAGCTGCCCCTCTATCATAGTTCATCCAAAAATGAAACTTCTGTCAACATTTACTCACCCTCAAGTTGTTCCAAACCTGTATTCTGGGTGAACTAT